TTAATACAAAAAGTATAAGATGAAATCCAGTTAAAGTATGTGAAATCCAGTTAAAACGTAGAAAGACATTTATCTCCTTCAGGCCACTTTGCCATATTTTAGAATTGTACTAACGATCGTAACAAATTGTTCAATTTCACCCATTTTACCAAATCGTCGCTCTTTACGTCGTCCATTTCGATAATGAGATCGGCCTCCGTCCAAATATTGAAATGTAATAAAATTCCTTACTGGAGCGGAAAGTTTCGCAAGGGACAGCATTAAATGGGACGCCAATAGATTTTACTCCTTTGTGCCGTGCTCCTTCGGCCGAGGGAAAAGTCAATTTCGTAAAAACAATTCTGTCGACCACGGGCCAGGGAGTAATATGTACGAATCAACGGACCTGGTAGCAGCCTGCAAAAGACCTGGCGTGAACGAAATGAAATTACCACGGGTGCAGAACCGAACGAATTCCTGTAACGTCGATACCCGGCTTTTGATGGAAAAAGGAACAAGAATCAACCAGCTCGACGGTTTTCAAATTAGACAAAGGTCCGACATATCAATTTTTCAGCTAATTCTAAGGCAAATGGTCCCGTAACTGCACACTTAAGGACGTGACCGCTCAAAGGAAGCTACTTTTTACTTGCATATGCAGAATTTTCAATGTTCTCTACGTTTCTATGCGAAGTTCAAATGCAATATTCGCACGAATTGATAAAAATTTGATTTCCCTTCGTACGATGTTTCATAATTACATGAACGAAAATTAATGTCTTGTGTGCTATACTGTTGATTTCATGTTTCTTGTTGATTTTAACAAATTATGTTCATACATTTTCTTTATGAAATTGACAGCTTTAGAAATAAGTACGTATTCAGTAACGTACCTTATGACCTGTAATTATACGTGTTAACAAACTTGATGAGAGAATAATCTTTAAAATAGTAGATAAAATAATTATAACTGCGATGTTTTAACGGCTGTTGACAGTCCGCTACGCGAAACGAATTTCACGAATCGGTGGGGGTAGTCCGCGTTCATTTACGGAGGGATTTTAACGATCAGTCAGCGCAACTTCGTTAAAGTCGGAAAACGTCGAAAAAGTACGTTGAAAGTCGCGAGCCGTTGAAAGACATTATATTTAGATAAAACTCTTCTTGTTGTTTACTATTTCTTATTCCTTTTACTATTACTCGTTCCTATTTCTTGCCCTATATCATATCACACTCGTGACGCACACCTGTTCGATCATGACAAAGCAGACTTTGTTTAGCAAATCTTTGACGAAACCAAAAGAGTGTACATTTTAACCTACGTTATTTGTCTTAAGATTGTAGCAATAGTTATGAATGACGAAACCAGAAAATCATACGTTAATGGTATATTAATGAAAAATCGTGTGTTCTCGTTCAAAAGTGTTTCGCAAAAGATTGTTTGAAGACGTTAATAAAGTTTTTTGATATCCCATCACACATTGTTCTTTAGTGGCTAGGAATTTAAGGCTAGAGTTGTGGAGATGTACAATTTCAACTGGGGAGCTTGCGTTCACTTACGGAGGGATTTTCACCATCAGTTAACGCGACCTATATATTAAAATTACCCGGCTTTTGATGGAAAAAGGAACAAGAATCAACCAGCTCGACGGTTTTCAAATTAGACAAAGGTCCGACATATCAATTTTTCAGCTAATTCTAAGGCAAATGGTCCCGTAACTGCACACTTAAGGACGTGACCGCTCAAAGGAAGCTACTTTTTACTTGCATATGCAGAATTTTCAATGTTCTCTACGTTTCTATGCGAAGTTCAAATGCAATATTCGCACGAATTGATAAAAATTTGATTTCCCTTCGTACGATGTTTCATAATTACATGAACGAAAATTAATGTCTTGTGTGCCAGACTGTTGATTTCATGTTTCTTGTTGATTTTAACAAATTATGTTCATACATTTTCTTTATGAAATTGACAGCTTTAGAAATAAGTACGTATTCAGTAACGTACCTTATGACCTGTAATTATACGTGTTAACAAACTTGATGAGAGAATAATCTTTAAAATAGTAGATAAAATAATTATAACTGCGATGTTTTAACGGCTGTTGACAGTCCGCTACGCGAAACGAATTTCACGAATCGGTGGGGGTAGTCCGCGTTCATTTACGGAGGGATTTTAACGATCAGTCAGCGCAACTTCGTTAAAGTCGGAAAACGTCGAAAAAGTACGTTGAAAGTCGCGAGCCGTTGAAAGACGTTATATTTAGATAAAATTCTTCTTGTTGTTTACTATTTCTTATTCCTTTTACTATTACTCGTTCCTATTTCTTGTTCTATATCATATCACACTCGTGACGCACACCTGTTCGATCATGACAAAGCAGACTTTGTTTAGCAAATCTTTGACGAAACCAAAAGAGTGTACATTTTAACCTACGTTATTTGTCTTAAGATTGTAGCAATAGTTATGAATGACGAAACCAGAAAATCATACGTTAATGGTATATTAATGAAAAATCGTGTGTTCTTGTTCAAAAGTGTTTCGCAAAAGATTGTTTGAAGACGTTAATAAAGTTTTTTGATATCCCATCACACATTGTTCTTTAGTGGCTAGGAATTTAAGGCTAGAGTTGTGGAGATGTACAATTTCAACTGGGGAGCTTGCGTTCACTTACGGAGGGATTTTCACCATCAGTTAACGCGACCTATATATTAAAATTTGTCATTCTGAAGCTCATCAAGTTCGTATGTATCACAAGAAGGTTAAAGTAATTTATATTACTTTATACTCTCAGAATATTAATTTCTTATTTCATTACTATTATGACGTAATGATAAATTTTAGCACATTTCAATCTAAAACTATTATTATACTTCCTATGATATAATTAACTAAACGTGACTATAATAAATAAAATCTTGTTTTGACTGCACCAAGAAGAATTCTTCTTTGACCTCACTAAAAGAGACCCTTTCTGCAACTACAGTAAAATAATAGTGTTTGAAGACTGTTCGAACATGACAAGTCAGACTTTGATTAGAATTTGGCGTTGAACTACGTTTTGAACCTACGTTAATTTTACTTAAGATTGTATCAATAGTTATCTGTGAAATAATTAATAATCAATATAGTTAAAATGCAACTAGAAAATGATACATTAATAATACATCAATGAAAGATCATACCTAATTTGTATTCCCGTTCAAAAGTATCATTAAGTACCATAAAAGGTTAAACTAATAACATTAATAAAGTGCAGTGAAATTACAGTCACACATTTTCCGTCAGCCATCAGGCATTTAGGGCTAGAGATATGGGATTGTATCAGCGAACCAAATCTGGAAACCATTTGTATTATCGGGAAAGGATTAGATACGGTAACTTTGAAACGTCATCCCACCGCGTATCTTGACATAACGATACTTTAAGCCTCTATTCTCTGTATTCATTGCAACATCTGTTGTTACCAGTAGAATGCTGGATACGCATTTAGTTTCCGTATGCATCGAATTTGCAGTCAATAACACAGCTGTGCTGTCCAAATGAAAATCCACCAATTACCACTGATACGTGTATCGACGAACGTGATATCTATTCATTAAATTTCACCCGAATTTCGCAACAGACGCGCATTATTCTCGTACTATCAGTTCCAGCGTTTGCTAAATCGGATACAGAATTCTGCCTAACGAATCCTCTTATACGTGTAAATCGTATGATTACATGTAGTCAGACAGAGACATAGCTGCATGATAATTATTAGTGTTCAACATTATTGTGTCCTTGCTATTGTTAGAGATGATACGTTATTGCTGAATGTGCATTGTATGTGGACTTTTAGAGTTAGCTTGGAATTGCAGAGGATTGAATTTGGTACTTTGGATGATTGGTATTTTGGGGTTTTGAAGATTTGAGGATTTGGGAACTTGGGCAGTTGAGGATTTGGGGATCTGAAGATTTAAGGGTTTGAGGATTTGAGTATTCTGGAATTTAGAAATTTGGGGATTTGATGATTTGGGAATTTTGGAATTTCAGGAGTTGGGAAATTAGGAATTCTTGTGATTAGGAGATTTGGGAGTGTGAGGATTTGAGGATTTGAAGATTTGAGGGTTTGAGGATTTGAGGGTTTGAGGATTTGAGGATTTGAGGATTTGAGAGTTTGAGGATTTGAGGATTTGAGGATTTGAGGATTTGAGGATTTGAAGATTTCAGGATTTGAAGATTTGAGGGTTTGAGGATTTGAGGATTTGGGAAATTAGGGATTCTGGTGATTAGGAGATTTGGGAGTGTGAGGATATGAGAATTTGATAATTTGGGGGTTTAAGGATTTGAGGGTTTGAGGGTTTGAGGATTTGAGGATTTGAGGATTTGAGGATTTGATGGTTTGAAGATTTGAGGGTTTGAGGATTTGAGAGTTTGAGGATTTGAGGATTTGAGGATTTGAGGATTTGGGAAATTAGGGATTCTGGTGATTAGGAGATTTGGGAGTGTGAGGATATGAGAATTTGATAATTTGGGGGTTTGAGGGTTTGAGGATTTGAGGATTTAAAGATTTGGGAAATTAGGGATTCAAGTGATTAGGAGATTCAGGACTTTGATGATTTGGGAATCTGAGAATTTGAGGATTTCGGAAGTTAGGTATTTTGGTGATTAAGAGATTAGGGAATGTCACAAAATTTCCTAAATTTCCTGGTCCACCAAGTTCTCCCTACATCCTTCATTCAACTCTTAACACCTCTACAAGTATTCAAATCCCAAAAATCCTCGTAAACCATATCAGAAAATTCAGATATCTGACACCCAACCACCTGAACGTTACCTAATTATATTTTTCCTATAAGACCCTTACTCTAGACCACACTAATCCACCCCAAAAGCTGAGGACATGTGATTATACGAATATGACAAAGTCCACAACATTGCTTAATAAATTACTAAACTCCAAAAGTGGTGAATTACCTGAATGGCAAAAGGCGGCAAGCAAAGAGCGTAATAACGTTGTGTTTAATTTGTGTTACAGTGACCTCGGATAAAGGAAGCGAAGCACCGACGGCCGCCTGTTTGATGATTCTGACGCTGTGTACGCTCCAGCTGCTTCTGAGATAGTCGCGACACGCTTGAGGCAACGGAAAGGGAGCTCATGGGCGTCGCACGATAAACAACGCACTAGTCAAACGAAGGGGCAGGATGAAGTGGATGAAGGGCAGTTTAAGGGACGTTCGTGCCGCCAGGGCAGAAACGAGTCGCGATTATTGTTGAATCGACACGACGTGGATAATTACGTGTTTTTCAGCGTGGTTCGGTTTTGTTCGGTGGAACGATCGCGTATGCCGTCGCTTCAATGTTATCCTCGTCGTACGTCCCCGATTGCCGATCGTTCGCCGAGATCGAGACGCAACAACACATGGTTCACCGATACGCTTGTCTGGACTATCGGATAAATGTACGCCGTGGCTAAGGAACATGACGCGAGATACGCTTTCCGACTCGACACATGCGTGTATCTCTCGGCCCAAATGCGTTTAGCCGCGTTCTCGATCAACGTGTCAGAATGCTCAAACGATGTCGCGTCTGGTAAGTAGCGAACAAACGGCTGATCGTTCGAGGACATGTCGAAGCTTCATTCAGAAGTCAACGTGTGTACCGTGCTTAATCATTGTCGGGAAAATTTACGTACACCTTGGTCAGAGTTGTGTGGTCTGTCTTACGAGAGCGTACTCAGGATGTACAGCTAAGTTGTTTGGGAGATCAATATTAAGTTGTTTTGGTTACATTAATGTTATATGTCATATGTGGATTATGTGTGAAACATTGTATTATGGTAGGACCAAGGATAAGAGTTAAAGAGATGTGTACTAACATTCACTTTTAGTTTTTGTCAAGTCTGGGGAAATGTTGGACCTAGCAATAACCTATATGTGAATATAGGGACGTCTACGTTTCACATAAATGTAAGTCTTCCTTTAGATCTACGCTCTTTCTAGGTTTTGCTTAGATCAAAGTTTTGTTGAGGTCTGATTTATGCTAAGTCTAGGATTTGACTAGGTCTAGTTTACCCTAAATCTAGGTTTTGATTAGGTTTTGGTTTTGATTAGGTCTAGTTTACCTTAGGTCGGGGTCTGACTAACTCTAATGTACCATAGGTCCAGGTGTTGACTAACTCTAGTGTACCCTAGGTCCAGGTGTTGACTAGCTCTAGTGTACTCTAGGTTCAGGTGTTAACTAGCTCTAGTGTACCCTAGGTTCAGGTGTTGACTAGCTTTAGTTTAACCTAGGTTCAGGTGTTGATTAGCTGTAGCTTATCCTAGGTCCAAATGTTGACTAGGTCTAACTTACCCTAGGTTCAAGTGTTGACTAGCTATATTTTACCCTAGGACCAAGTGTTGACTAGGTCTAATTTACCCTAGGTTCAGATATTGACTAGGTCTACTTTACCCTAAATCTAACTTTCCCTTAGATCTCTTAAACCTAGATCTAATAGTCCTAGAATTACATCTTCTTAGTATCAAATTTTTTCAGATCCACATTTTTCTGAGGCCTAAATACTCAAATCTATGTTTCCCTCGATTTTCGTTTTCTCTAGGCCTAATTTATTCTAGGTCCAACTTTTCCAAAACTTGGTTTCCCTAATTTTAAATTCTCCTGAGTACAGATTCTATCTATTTATAAGTACATCCTAAGTCTATATTGTATCTAGTTTTCATCTACCTCCAGGTTCAATTTTAATTTGGAGAAACATTTCTCTAAAATCATTTGCTTCATTATAATTCACATATTGTTTCTACCACTCATGTTTAAAGAATCCTCCACAGACATTTTCTTCAGGTATACAGTTACTTGTAAGTTTATGATAAATATATGATTAAATTGTTCATAAACGCACACAGATTATTTGTTTCACATAATTAAATATCGTGGGTACACTCATGTGATGCAGACTGTAATTTGTACACAGAAAAGTAAAGAATAAATACAGGGTTATTCAAAAGAAATATCGGCATTCCTTGTGGAGGTAATGGTACCTCGTTATCCATTCTTGTATTCCCTTAATTTTTTATATTAAATCAGAAAATCGTTTTCTTTCCAATTTTGAGTCAACTTATGTCCTCAAAATGAAACTGAAATCAAATTGGGTGAAACTGAAATCAAAGTGGGTTCCTGGGTACCGTTAGACCTCCATATTGTCCTAAAGAGATTGAATGCGCATAACCTCACTCTAAGAACTTGCAAATGTGTAAATTAAACTTCAGAATAAGTAGCTAGACTAAATCTAATCCTCTATAGCAGTTAAAACGATTCGAGGTTTGCTGCCAAAATACTCAAATGTTCTTTCAAAAACGCTTTTGAAATTATTTGAACGGCCTTAAATCGACGACCAGCGTGTTAATCTCTGTTACACCATCTAGCTTTTTATGTTCATACTAGCTTTAGATGTTCAAACTATTTCCTTGAATTCTCCAACTTCTTGGATCAAAAATTATAAATTTTTCTAATTCTGTATCTATTTAAATTGTCTGTGATCGCTCCATCAATAGATGTGATACTTCTAAGAAAAATAACGTAACGTTACTTAATATTTCTATGTTGAAATTATACAACGCTAAATTGTTGCTGCGTATCAAATCGCAAATTTCGAAATGTGGACAGTTAGGTGACATCGGAAGTACAGTGCCGACGCCATTTTATTTCGGAGCGCGAAGACAAAATGGCTGACCTCTCATTCGAACAAAGAAATCCGGTTTTTACATAGTAATCAAAATTTAAAAGAAATTCTGAAAAAAATATATGCTTCTTTTAACACAATACATATAGATATTATTGTGTAATATATTATATAATATATTTAATACTTATATGTTATGAGACACCCCATATAATATACTCTAATATGTTACACAATAAACATATGTAACATATTATAATATATTTTATTATACAATACTTTTATGTACTGTATACAACAGCAAGATATACAATATATCAATTAATTTGTATTAATGTTACTGAAAAGTTAATTCAGTTATTTTTATTAAAAACAGCTTCACACATGTGGCGTAAGTAAATGATGGTACTTTTGTATGAACTGGTGTTAGACTGTTTATATTTAAAAATTTGATATTTGGTATGCAATGACATAATTGCTTTAATAGTGTACGATCTTTTCCGACGGACTATGTTACACACACGTTTATGCCTCGAAGGATCAGCGTTTCCTGTCACACATTCTCTTCCGGACACATTGACGAACGTTGCTTAGTACATAATTGGTGTCACAGGGAGTCGATCCAGAAACGTTAAGTTCCAGACAACGATGAACGTTCAGTGTGCACATTGACGTGACTAGGGTTTTTGTCTGGGGTAGAATCCTCTAGATTTAGAGTAATGAAATTTTGAATTTGGGAGTTTGGATATTTGGAAATTTAGAGGTTTGAAGTGTGGGGAATGGAGGGTAAGGAATTTGGGAATTTGAGAACTTGGGAACTAGGGAATTTGGGATTTTGGAAGTTTGGGAATATGGGATTATGGGAATTTGAGAATTTGGGAATTTGGAAATTTGGGAATTTGGGAATTTGGGAATTTGAGAATTTGAGGAGTTGGGGATTTGGGAACTTGAGAAGTTGGGGATTTGGGAACTTGAGAACTAGGGAATTTGGGAATTTGGGAATTTGGGAATTTGGGGATTTGGGAATTTGGGAATTTGGGGATTTGGGAATTTGAGAATTTGAGGAGTTGGGGACTTGGGAACTTGAGCACTAGGGAATTTGGGATTTTGGAAGTTTGGGAATATGGGATTATGGGAATTTGAGAATTTGGGAATTTAGGGATTTGGGGTTTGAGAATTTGAGGAGTTGGGGATTTGGAAAATTGTTAATTTTGGAATTTGAAAATTTGAAAATTTGAAAATTCCCTAAATTCTCTAGATTCCGTAATTCAGTAATTTCCAAATTGCCCCAAATTCCCTAAATTCCCCAGAATTTGAAAATTTGATAGTTTGTAAATTTCAGAATTCCAAATTTTGAGATTCCCTAAATTTGCAAATTCCAAAATTTGAGAATCCCTAAATTTGCAAATTTACACATTTGACAATTTAAAAATGTGAGAACTCAAGAGTCCCCGAATCTAAAAATTTCAAAAACTGAAATTAAAAATTAGAATCTTATAAACTTTGTCAATTTCGAAATTCCAAATTTCTCAAACTCATAATCAGTGTCAATTAAAAACACGATATCTTACATTTTCAAAAGTCTCCAAATTTTTACTACGTGTACTTTCGAATTTTGACACAAGAGATATCCTTTCCCTATTTAATTTCAATCTACATTTTAAACCAGACACACCCCAGTTACGCCAATGAGAGCACTTGCGTATTTCCTACAACGGAAATACGTGATCAAATATCCGCGCCATTCGATCAGCAACGGCTGAAGATACCTGTCATACCACGCTACACGCTATATGACATGGACTATGTCATTCCACCATGTATCTTGTTCAGCCATTATTCGCGGATCATCTGAACAACTGCAGATCGATCCTGCAATTTTTATACGAAGAAATTCCGTTCTCTCGACTCTTAACTTTTCTTCTTCTTCTCTTCGTGTTTTACGTGGCAGCGAAAATGATGCAGTTTCCTCGTAACGATATTTCCGTGCGGACCGGTGCTGCGTTAACCACAAAAACACCACCGAAATCTAATATTTGAACAATGTTTCAAATTCTTCATTTTTAAAAAGTTTCAAAACATTCTGTTTGACAGAAGAAAAATTTGAAGAATATGGGGCCCTCGAACGACTTAATACAGCACTGCGATCCGCACGAAACGTTTGTCGACGGAGAGAATTTGCTTGAGAAACGCGTAATGATCGATAGGAGCTTGACGAACAAGGTTTAGCTGTAACTCGATTTATTTCTACGGGAGTAAAGCGTAATCTTTATTGTTTAACAGAATGATTAAAAAATGCGTGTAGTTAGAGAACGAAACAAATCTTGTATCTTTCGAACGTTGTGGACTTCGATGTTATTTTACGATTTTTAATTGCTCTCTTATTGTTTGATTTATGCGAGTTTGATATTGACTAGGTACTTACCTCGAAAAGGAGCAATGGATTGTCGTAAATTAACAGGAAACTTTACCTGGTACTCGTAAGGTTATTTCTGAATATGATCTCTAATTGCCAAAAATTAGTTTTAACTCAGATGGCTTACTGTATTTGTTTTTATTTTTGTTTGGTTATTTTTGGATGGGTGTAAAGTTTAAGCGTTGTGGAAGTACGCTGAGATCCTTTGGGGTTTGTTCGAAATTTTACAATTGTAAAGAAACTTTAAAAATTAGCAAAAAAACTAATCTAAATGATTCGAGTTAATATTGTTAATATCATATTTATAGTATATTATGTTTGATAAATCCACAAACATTTATTTTAACATACCTAAACTACATCATACCAATATTATCAAACTTATATGATTTTTCCTTCGTTTCAAAAAAAAAATCATACCCATAATTTCTCAAAACTATTACTTCAAGTCTCTTTACAATTGTACAAAATTTCGAACTAATACAGGGTGCCTTACAAAGAGTGTAGGTCTCTGAAATGGGGGGTAGCTGACGTGATTCTGAATAAAATTTCCCTTTGCAAAAATGGGATCTGAAGCTCCGTTTTTGAGTTATTGGGATCTGAAGCTCCGTTTTTGAGTTATTAAGGAAAAACGCGGACCAATCAGAGCGCAAGGATTACGCATGCGCAGACGCGAAAGCGACATCTTCGAGATTAGTGGCTGAGCGCGCGTAATCCTCACGCTCTGATTGGTCACAGCTTCGAGCCTAAAAAATATTTATATTCCTTAATATAAGTTACTTGGAAATTACAGAGTGTGGAGTTATGGCGCGTAGAAATTTCGACTCGTGGAATTATGGCGCGTAGAAATTTCGGCGCGTGGAAATACGGCGCGTGGGAATTACGGCGCGAGGGAATATAGCGCTTGGAAATACAGCGCGTGGAAATTACAGAGCGTGGAATTATGGCGCGTGAAAATTGCGATGCGTGGTATTATGGCGCATAGGAATTTCGACGTGTAGAAATACAACGCGTGGAAATTAGGGAGTGTGGAATTATGGCGCGTAGAAATTACGCCGCGTGGAAATACAGCGCATGGAAATTACGAAGTGAAAAATTGATTACAGAGCGTGGATTTATGGCGCATGGAAATTTCGGCGCGTGGAAATACGGCGCGTAGAATTATGGCGCGTAGAAATTTCGACGCGTAGAAATACAACGCGTGGAAATACGGCGCGTGGAGATTACAGAGCGTGGATTTATGGCGCATGGAAATTACGCCGCGTTGAAATACTGCGCGTGGAAATGCAGCGCGTGGAAATATGGCGCGTGGAGATTACGGAGCGTGGAATTATGGCACAAGGAAATTACGCCGCGTGGAAATTACGTCGCGTGGAAATACAGCGCGTGGAAATTACGCCGCGTGGAAATTACAAAGTGAAAAATTATATTCCTTAATAATTCAAAAACGAAGCTTCACACCCCATTTTTGCAAAGGGAAATCTTATTCAAAATCACGTCAACCATTTCAAAGACCCATTACTTTTGAGACACCCTGTATTTCAAACCTCCTACCCCCCTGTAAATTCAGTAAATTTCATTACTTCGCTTAAAAGCATACACGTACGCCTACTCTTCAATTTTAATTTGTGCCAAGATTATAAGGTCTACCGAATGTATATAAAGTTTAAAGTCATAGTGACTTTATGAAACGCGTACACGGATCTGCGTCCTCGAAGAGTTGACGGGATCCATCATACGAGGGTTGTCTCTCACATCTCGATAAGAACAATGAATAAAACATAGCCAAAGGTTTTAATCGCCTTCGTTTAAAGAGGTGAAAACGTTGCGACTACCCTCGTATTAAAAAAAAAAACTGTAAAGTTCATAGTGTGTATTTATTAAGTTTGCGAGTTCGAGAACGCATTTTTTAATCATTCTGCACATCGTCTACCATTGCGAATAAAAACAAAGTATTTTTAATGAACGTCGTGCAATCTCGCAGGTTTCGTTTGGAAAAGAAGCGAGTATGATGATATACCGAACGATGACGTAAACGTAAAACACCCTGTATAACCTTAGACATAGGTATAGCGAGAACGAATCAAAGTAATAAGTGTAATTTTAAGTTACGTTGAAGTTTGTATTAAATATCGCGTACGGACGATACAGATGGATGAATTATTGCGCAAGACCCAAGCAACAAGCCTTGAAATGTGTCTTTCAGAAACGAGCTGCTTCTTTTTACGTATATATTCCTCGTCCCATCTCCTCTCGTTCTCACGAATATTTCCCTGCTCGCCGGCGGATAAATTGTGTCAACAATCGGGCTTCTCTTTCGCTGAAAACGTTTTACAGAATACGAATGTTTGCGGTGAACGTCGCAGAATCTGAGATCGATGCATCGATGGAGCAGGAAAATCGAGGCTGAAATGCACGCTCAGACGCCACGTTTTTCCGCCATGTTCCCGTTTTTATTAAAGCGACTCTCCTGAAGGATTTCCTGTGTCTATAAACCGGCCACGTGCCCCGCGTTTTCCGCCGAATTACTGCTGCAAAAATCCTTGCCAGAGGGATTTATTTTCACCGTCGAATTCACGAGCAGTTACGCCATTTTGAGCTGATGGCCGACATGTGAACGGGTCTTTGCTACGAGAGGCCTATAATAGCAACAGCCAAGAT